GCTGTATTCTTAGGTTAAATTCCTAAAAGTGGAATTCCTGGGTCAAATGGTATTTCTATTTTGAGCTTTTTGAGGAACCTCCATACTGCTTTCCACAATGGTTGAACTAATTTACATTCCTACCAGCAGTGTAGGAGGGTTCCCCTTTCTCTACAACCTCACCAACATTTGTTGTTGTTTGTCTTTTGGATGGTGGCCATCCTTACTGGTGTGAGGTGATGTCTCATTGTGGTTTTAATTTGCATTTCTCTGATGACTAGCGATGTGGAGCATCTTTTCATGTGTCTGTTGGCCATCTGAATTTCTTCTTTGGAGAACTGTCTGTTCAGCTCCTCTGCCCATTTTTGACCCAGGAAGAATTTTTGCATTCATTCAGGTTGCACACTCATTAGTCCCCACCATGTGCTGGGCTCAATGCCACTCTTCAGCAGGACCCTTGATTCAGAGACTGAGATACTTTCTGGAGGGGTGTAGGACACTCTGTGTGCAGTGGACACTAAGGGCCCCAGGCAGACCCAGAGGCAGATGACAGTGATCCTGGCACCCCAGTGAGATTCCTCCTGCAGGAGTCGGAACCTGCTGCAGGAAGCACCCAGGCCCTCTGGTCTGGGCCCTTGTGGACAAGATCCAGTTTGCCTGGTCTGGCTCAGGGGTCAAATTAAAACAGCACTGGAAAACCCTCATCAGTGAAAAGGGCTTCTTCCTAAGGCCTTTCTCAGACACGTTTACACTTGATGTATATATGTGCATGTTCTCATATATATGCATATTTGATGAGGGTTGGATACTTCCCCCTGCCCAAGCCCCCGGAGGTATGCACAGCAACATCCTGCCACTGCAGCATGCTTACCAAGGGGTTTCCACCATCACTTTTTTTAGGCTTCACAACAGCTGTGGAATATAATGAATGGAAACATGGCTTATAAACTGTAGAGGGCTGTGCACATTAGTTATTCATACAATGCTATTAATAATTGCAGTACCCAGCCTTTGCCAACTCCTGCCTGCTGGAAGTTGTAGCATGTGCTTTTACTGCATTACATAATTCTTACAGTACTTCTGTGAGATAAGCAGCTATTATATTCATTCCCATTTTACAAACAAGGAAACTGAGGCCAAAGAGACAATGAAGGTTCTGCATGACATTGTGGTTCAGAGAAGAGTATGTGGTGGGTTGGATGGGGAGACATGCCCAGCCCAGCCCCTTGCACTGCCCAGGATGACCTTCGAGGATATGTGCCGATACTTCACTGACATCATCAAGTGCCGCCTGATCAATACATCTTACCTGAGCATCCATAAAACCTGGGAGGAGGCCCGGCTGCGCGGTGCCTGGACCCGGCATGAGGACCCGCAGCAGAACCGCAGTGGGGGCTGCATCAACCACAAGGACACCTTCTTCCAGAATCCACAGGTAGGCATTCTCGGGGGGCCCCACCCTGCCCCTCTGTGGGCCTCAGCCACCTGTGCAGTCAGTGGGGGCTGGGTCGGCACATATGGGTGGTCACGTAGCCCCTAACCTCACAATCTGACCCACAGATGGTAAAAATGAGGAAACGGAGGCTCTGAGAATTCATATGCATCTTGTCTACAGTTACAGGGGCAATTAGAGGCTACGCCAGGAGCTCAGATCCCTTGTTCACACACACACACATGCGCGCACACACATGCGCGCACACACACACACACACACACATGAGGAAACGGAGGGTCTGAGAATTCATGTGCATCTTGTCCACAGTTACAGAGACATTTAGATGCTAGGCCAGGGGCTCAGATCCCTTGTGTACACACACACACACACACACACACACACTCACTCACTCACTCACTCACTCACTCACTCACTCACTCACTCACTCACTCACACATTCACACTGCTGCTCCCCCTTCCGGGGGAACATGGCCAGGCCGGCCCCTGTGGAGTCCTCTACCCTGCAGCCTCCTCTCTCATGAGCCTGGCAGCTGTTTGGTGCACTTTCACGGAGCCCTGCCTGCGTACGCACTCTAAGCTGGGCCTCCATGATCTCCTCGAGCCCCCCACCCTTCATGCAGGGCATTATAGGCCCATCTCAGATGAGGGACCAAGGCTCAGGGAAGTCATGTGACTTGCCCAGGCTCACACAGCTGAGCTGGGGCTGGCTGTGGGCTGAGCTTCTAGGGCCCAGCAAGTCCACCATCAGCTCAGCCTCACTGCAGTGTCTGTCTCCCTTGGCTACACCTGCAGTACATCTTTGATGTCAAGAAGCCAGAAGATGAAGTGCTAATATGCATCCAGCAGCGGCCGAAACAGTCCACCCGCCGGGAAGGCAAGGGTGAAAATCTGGCCATTGGCTTTGACATCTACAAGGTGAGGCCAGCTGGGACCCCACCTCTGTGTGAGCAGAGTGTGGGAGCTGGAGTTTGGGCCACCTGGGCCCAGAAGAAGAATGCTCTAGAACGCCTTGATCAGCCACACCACCCTGGCCTGCCACTCCAGCCACATAGCTGACTCCACGGGCATGCTGTGGCATGGGCTGTGTGGAATACTCCCAGAGGCCCAGCCTGCCTGGGGTTGGCGTCCCTGGGGGCTCTCAGCCTGATGTCTTCCTGCAGCAGCCCCACAGGCTGTTTGGCGGAGGGGAAGGGGTGGATGCTGATGGGCGGGGCCGGCTGGGGAGGCTCCCTGCTGTTCCCTCCCTCGGGGCTCCAGCCCCCACCCCCACAACGCCCTAACCCCCACACCAAGTTGGAGGCCTTGCTGGGCACTGGGAGAGCCAGGCAGGCTTACCGCTGGCTGCTCCTTCTGCCCTGGGACCCGAGGCCCTCTGCATGTCATGACCCCCAGTGTGATGACACTCAGCATAGAGGGGCACCATGGGCCGCCTGACACCTGGACCTAGTAATCACACAGATGTGCTAGGTGCCTGGTCTGCATCGAGCCCCAGACATTTGGCATATTCGCTCATGTCATGACAGGTCGATATCACTGTGTTGGAACATTCATTGGGTGCTGATGTGTTGTGACTTTGATATGCCATGACCTTCACTGATGTGACAATGACCTGTCATCGCCCTTGTCCCAGGAATCGTCTAGCATGTCCTGGCAGCTGGCAATGTCATTTCATGGACACAGGCTGTGACCTGGGCAGATACTTGGTCTGTTGTGATAGTCAGAGACCCCACAGACATTGCTGCCAGGGGGATTTCTGTTGCCCCCACCCCTTTTAATAGCTCTACTGCAATACAGTCCACATACCGTATGATTCACTCATTTAAAGTGTACGGTGACTCCTAGTATATCCATACTGCTGTGCAACCATCACCACAGTCAATTTTAGAACATTTTCATCTTTGCAAAAAGGAACCCCGCACCCTTTAGCCATAACCACCCTGGTCCCCTGCCCCATGCAGCACTCACCCCCCAGGCAAATCCTCTTCTATGCTGTCTCTGCAGATTTGCCTATTCCGGGCATTTCACTTGAGTGGATTCTGTCGCTCTTGTCAGGGCAGCAGGGGGGAGCTGTGGGGCAGGGTAGGTGCTGGAGCTGGGGGCTCTGTGCCAGCCGGCCCTCCCCTCCCGCAGGTGGAGGAGAACCGCCAGTACCGCATGCACAGCCTGCAGCACAGGGCCGCCAGCTCCATCTACATCAACTCAAGGAGTGTCTTCCTGCGGACGGACCAGCCTGAGGGCCGCTATGTCATCATCCCCACCACCTTCGAGCAAGGCCACACTGGCGAGTTCCTGCTCCGGGTCTTCACTGACGTGCCCTCCAACTGCCGGTATGGGGGCTTGGTTCAGGGCCACCGTTGGTGGAGTGAGGCCCACACCAGCCTGACCCAAAATCTGTGCTGTGTCTGCCCTGCAGCCCTCCAGCCTCCCTGGGCTGACACCAGTGCCCCTCTCCGTCCTCTGCTTTCCCCTGTCCCTTGTCCCAGCCTCTCTGTCACATAAAGGAACAGCCTCTCACATGTGCCCAGCACTCCACAGTTCACGAAGAAGCATTCCTTCATCTCAGCTGCACTTCCTGAACCCCAAGTGGGTGGCCTGACCCCTCCATTCTATGGATCAGAATTGGGGATGGAGGCTGGGGAGCATTCAAGGCCAGGCAACCAGTGGCAGAGTCGGGCTAGGCAGACTGCCGAAGCCATCACCATACGTGCCGGGGGCACTCCCTGGGGGTCCCACACCACCCTCCCACTTGGTAGGCTGCCCACATCCCAGCCTGGGAGGCAGCTTGTGTCGGGGGACCAGGGGGCCTTGGCCTAGGCTGCACTGCTCTCCTGCTGTGCGGGCAAGTCCTTTCCCCTGGTGAGCCCAATACTCCCAGCCTGTAAAATGGGCATGATAATAGTCACCTGTCTCCCAGGGCTCTGTGAGAATTGGACATATCTGTAACATCCCAGCAGAGGGCTTGGCATACAGTAGGTGCTCAGAGAATTGATTTTCCCTTGGGTAGAGACAGAGGAGCAGGAAGCACATGGGGTGCTGCCAGGATGGGCAGGCCCTAGACCAAACACTGCTCCTCTCCCCCTCTCCACTTCTTCCACCCCCTCACCTTCTGCTGTCCTGACCCCCTCTATCACTTGCCCCTCCTCCTGCCCTCTGCCAGGGAGCTGTGCCTGGATGAGCCCCCCCGCTCCTGCTGGAGTTCCCTGTGTGGCTACCCCCAGCAGGTGACCCAGGTGCATGTCTTGGGGGCTGCTGGTCTCAAGGACTCCCCAACAGGTGAGCTCGCCCGGGGAAAGCCCCTTGGCCCTCTTCCCCAGAGAGGTTGCCCCACAGCCTCTCCCCACTCCCCAGCCACAAACACCCAGCCTCCAGAGCTCTCCTGTTCATTGACTACGCAGACCTTTCCTGATGTGCACTCTGAGCCCAGCATGGAGTCGAACCCGGTGCATAGAGAGGAACCTGCCATGTTCCCTATTCTTGGGCCGCTTCCAGTGTGGTGGGGCAGTCAGACACAGAGACAGACATCTGGGAAGTAGGGCTCAGGGAAGACTTCCTGGAGGGGGTGGCCTTTCTCCACACTAAGGTGCTGTTACAGTATGAAGCTTTGTGATGTAGACTAGGGGAGAAGGGTGCTTCTGGGCAGGGGGAACAGCATGGGTAAAGGCCCAGAGGCTAGAGATACCAGTGTGCCCCTGCTGTCCCTGGAGGTTAGGAAGTGGTCCAGGCTGTCGTCTCCCTTCTGAATACATGAGCTCCGGCTTCTGCTCTGGGGAAAGGTCGCACCTCTCAGACATTTGTCCCCACCAGGCCCTAGCCCAGCCTCCACCCTCACCCCATGGCCCACACCATCTCTCTAGGGGCTAACTCTTATGTGATCATCAAGTGTGAGGGGGACAGAGTCCGTTCGTCTGTGCAGAAAGGCACCTCAACACCTGAGTATGATGTGAAAGGCATCTTCTACCGCAAGAAGCCATCCCAGCCCATCACTGTCCAGGTGAGCTTGCCTGTCCCCAGGGCCTCTCCCAGGCCCCCAGGCTGGTGCTTCCCCATCGACAGGGGCTAGGTCCCACTCTGTCCCTGACATAGTGTGGCCTTGGGAATTCTCTTGCCTGCCTCTCCTGGTGCCCCAGAGTCCCCTCTGTAGGATGAGTGTGTTGTATTAGCTGGTGTGATTTTGAGGCCCAGCAGAGTTAGTGTCCTGGCCAAGGACAGTGGTCCTCTGCTGACCTTGCCCCAAAGCCGTGGGAGTTCCTTCAATTTCCCTGTGGGTGGCTCCACCTGGAAAAGCTGCCCCGAGATGGTGTGTGGTGGGGGTGGCTATTCCCTGAGAGTAGGAGACCAGAGAGCCAAGGTCCTGGGCACTGGCTTCCTTCCGCTCTCAGGCCAAGGTGGGTGATAGTTCTGAGCTCATTCGCAGGAATCCCTCTGTCTCCCAGGCCCAGGCCAGCATCTCCCTGGATGAGAGACCATCTGTAGACAAATACTTGGGGAACCTGGGGGAGCCACTGCAGGTTTTCCAAGTTTTCACTGGGTCCCACTTGACCAAATCACAGACCCATAGGTGGGACTTGGAAGGGTCCCTCGAGGCTGTTGATCTAACCTCATATTAAAGGTGGGGAAACCAGGGCAGAGGGTGTATCACTTGTCCAATGTCACTCAAGGTCAACTGCAGAGTTAATAACAACAGACCTCATACATGGATGGGAGCTTTGACAGATGGGAGGAAGCCTGAGCCTCTGCAGAAGGCATACCCTTGCCCAAAGTTCGTGGCAAGGCAAAGGCAGTGCAGGGCCAGTTTCCAGCCAGGTTTGCACTGCAGGAAGGGAATTCAAGGCCCTGCCACTGCTGCCAGCACCCCCTGGCCTTGAACTCCTGGTCTTGGAGACAGACTCCCCACCATCCTCTGTCTCCTCCCAGATATGGAACCACCGAGTCCTGAAGGATGAGTTCTTAGGCCAGGTGCATCTGAAGGCTGATCCGGACAACCTCCAGGCCCTGCACAACCTCCACCTCCGGCACCGCAGTGGCCAGCAGCCCGGCGACCTGCCGGGCACTGTTGCTGTGCGCATCCTCAGCAGTGCCTCCCTCATGGCTATCTGATTCCTGCCCACCTGCCTGGCCCGCACAGTTCTCAGTATTGTCTGCATGTCTCCACCCAGGCCCGACACTAGCCTGGAAGCCAGGACGCTGGGGTCCTTTTCCCAGCTTTCCCACTGACTTGCTGTGTGACTTGGGGAGGTCTCTGCCCCTCTCTGGGCCTCAGTGTCCTGAAGACCCCAAAGCATTCCCTTCTTATGGAGGAGTCTTGCCTGACATTTAAAATAGCCTTCCTTATCCCAGCTGTCACCACTGCTAAGGGACTTTATCTGTTGAAAACATTTTTCCAAGGCCCTGCTGTCTGCCAATGGAGTGCCAAGAAGATGTCACTTGTTTACACACAAACTGCCACATCCCCAAGCTCCACTCGTGCCCCTCATGTCCCAGGCCCACCCCAGTGTTCCAGACCTTGCTTTCTCTGTCACCTCCACCTGGTGTTCTAGCCACCTTGAAAGGACTCTGCTCTTGCTGGGTTCCTGCTTTGGATGGAATTGGAACATGTGCAGGTGATATTTATTCACTGTGTTATCTCAACCCCTCACCCATCCATTTATTTATTCAACAGAGATTTGCCAAATGAATAAATGATGCCCATGAGACCCCAGGGTCTCTGGGCCCCTCCTATAGCCATGGGAGCCCCAGCATGTGTCCTGGGCCTCGCCTCCACTCTCAGGTCCTTTCAAAGGCAGACGCCCAGGCACCCGGAGGAGCTGCAGCCACCTCCTCATCCCAGGTTCCGATTTCACTCCAACCTCTGTTTAAGGTCCCTGGAGAGGCGGTAGCAGTGGTAGAGAGGAAGGACCTCTTCGCGTCCATTGCCCTGATGCTGGAAGGAACATGCCCCCTTAGTGGGCCAGGTGGCAGTGGGGGTATGGGGACCCAATGGGCAGGCACATGCTCCAGGCCCCCTCTGCTGAAGACTCAGGCGTTTCTTCAGAGAAGGGACTCTGGGATGGCTGGCTCAGGCCCTCTGGAATCAGGTCACCCACTGGGCTTGGTAGGAGATAGGGAAATCCGCTGCCTGGCCAGAGGCCCCTCTGCCAACTTCCCCCCGACATGCAGTCCAGGAGACCACAGCCCACTTCTTGCCGTCTAGACCAATATGTTCCTTTTAGTCCTCTATGTTCTATTCTTTCTATGTTAAAATATTTTAACCAGGAGTTTTTAAAGGAAAACCGAAAGCCTGGACCCCTTTTCTCTTTTTAAACTCTAGTTCATGTGGTCCTCTGATTTTATTTTGATTCTGCTTGGGGAAGGTCAAGGAGAAAGTCATACTTTCTCAGAGGAGGCCTGCTGATGGCTGAAGAGGGTGTTTGTTCTGTGCTTGATGTTTTGCATGCTGGCACCGACTGTGCTCTTAGGAAGTGTTGATGAGCCACCTAGGGTCTCCTCTGTGTCCTTCTCTTGCTCTAAACCAGGTGACGTGAATGAAACCCAGTCGGTTCAAGAATGGGAACTCCTGTGGCCTTGCTAGGCATTTCTTTTGGGAGCCTGACTTTTTGACTCCAGATCTGGCTGTTGGGTCCAGTGTCCTAGCTGGAGGCACTGGATTCTTGACTCTGCTTCCTCACTCCACAGCCAACTCTGCTCCTGCGTCCTGGCCCTGCGTTCTCGGCCACGTGCAAGGCCAGGAACCAAATAACAAGGAGGACAAGTGGATTCCTTCTCAGAAAGCTTGGATTTCCCCTTGAGAACCTGGACCTGGGGCCAGGACTCTGCACATGACCAGGAGCAGGTCACCTCCTGTGCCTCAATTCCTCCCTTCTGCAAAGTGGGGCCAATGATTCTTGTTTGTAGCACTCTTACTAACAAGCGCTGAATAAGGGCAAAACTGTACCTCTTCTCTATGTATCTCTATACGTACACACTATACACATTCATGTAATCGCCACTTCCTAATGTCTATTACAAATGAAGACTCCTGAGTTGGGGTGGAGAGGCAAGGGCCAGGTAAGCCACTGTGGAGCCTCTGGGGTTGACAAATGGGTCTTTGCTCAGCCATGTCCACCTGGGCTACAGGCAAACCAAGACCCACTGGTGGATTTGTGTGGACCTCGGCCTGGGGGCTGGGTACTGTCCCCCTCCAACAAAACTGGTTCACAGCCCTGCCCTTGCTTCCTGCTCCTCTGGGTGGGCCAGGCTGGCTCCTGGCTGTGTGGAGTTCCTGGTCCCCAGGAAGCCCTGGAGACGGGGCAGGTGAGGTTGGAGTTCTTCCAGGCTGGGACTGGAGGGGTGGGTGGGGAGAGCAATTATTCTGTTCATCTGATGCACCCTTCAGCACATGGAGGCCTCTGAGTCCCCATTTCAGATGGGTGGGCGGCTGGTCCATACCACCCCCATCTCAGCTCCACACCCCTCAGGGCCCACCATGGGGTCAGGGAAGCAGCAACCTGTTCCGTTCTCAGAATAAATGTTACTGCAATCCCAGAAAGATTTTCCTGTGTCCATCTGTTCCTCTCTGGGGAAGGGACAATGGAGGGAGTATTTCTCAGGCTTGGGTGACTGTCCTCCGGCCAAGAGAGACACATGAGGGAGGGCTTGGAAGTCACAGCTGAGATGGGACCTTGCTGCCTGTCAGATGTGTCTGAATAGAGACCATTGGGGTCATTCAATCATTTCTTCAGCTGGCTTAGTCCCAGGCCATCTCAGGCCCTGGGATATGGGGAACCAGCCACAATCCCTGCTCTGGGGCCATCGACAGACTGGAGACCACTAGAAATACTGTGGTCCTGACAAACGCCACACAGATTTACTGGTAAGGCAATGTGGGAGTTACTAGGGTTCTTTCAGCCGTGGAAGGAACGTCTGTTCCCTGATACTGTTGTGAAATGGAGGCAGGCAGCAGCATAAGGGGCCATGGAAGGAAGCAGGCTTGGGGGACCCGGGTGGATGTGGGGAGACCAGAAGGGAGGCTGCTGGGGAGATGCTATCCCCTTGAGCCAGGCAGCTGGCGTGGTGGTGGGGAGAAACAGCTGGGGTGGATTTTGGAGGTAGAATGGACAGAACTTGACTGGGTTGGGGTGGAGAGTGAGGGAAAAATATAAATTAACGCCAATTCCTAAATTTCCCCATAGGACTGTGAGAAAAGGACATGATTCTGTGCCCTGCTTAGTGGACTGCCTGGCCCCTGGGGGCTGCTGGGGAAATTGTAGCTGTTAGGGCATCTGGGATGACTGCATATCCCGAGCTCCCCACCCCTCCATGTCCAGCCCTCACAGCTCAGCCCTGCATCCTGCCTGGGGTACCATGTTCCTCTCCTCAGTCTCAGCTTTCCTGTCTGTGTAAGGCTGACATCGCTTGCCTACCCGGCCTGGGAGGCTCAGCAAGAGGTGACTGGAGGAGAGGCAGATACCAAGTATCCATGGCTGGCACTAGTCCAGAAATGGGGAAGCTGTTCCAGAGCAACTCCTGTCGGGCCCACCCGGCCAAGCGTACTCCAGCAGCCAGGGCTCCTCAGGGGCCAGGATGGTCGAGTCAGAGGAAGCCCGGGCCACGGCAGAGGGGCAGAGGCTGGGTCCCTGCGCACTGTTTCTCGCTGCTCCAGGCCGACGTTGCGGGCTCCGGCGGGCAGCAGCACCTGTGCCCAGCAGGGGGCGCACTTTGGGCTGTGGGGCAGTGTTGAGTGACAAGCTTCAGGGGGCATATCCGAGGGGAACCCCCAGGAAGTGGGTGTGGGGCAAGAGGGTCGGGAGAGAAAGGGCTAGAAGGCGGGACTTGCTGCCTCCTGCCCTGCTCTACTGGTCCTTTCCTCTCAGAGTCTCCAACAGCCATTTTACGGAGAAGAAACGGGCTTGGAGGAGGGTAGACAGGGGTCAAGCCTCAGCAAATCCAGGACCAAGTCAGGAGCAGAACGCGGTTTCCTTCCCAGGTGTCTCTGCCAATGAAGGAGGCCGCTGAGGCTGGGAGGCAGCGCAGCCGCAGCCGGCAGGGACCCCGGCCCCTTGCCCCCGCGCGCCCAGAGCCCCGCAGCGCAGCCCGCCCCCCACGCTGCTGCCGCAGCTCCCAGGCTCCCAGACCTCGAGGGCCCTGGACTCCGCCTCCTGGGGGAAGGCCCTGGAGTGGGGAGCGGAGGGGAGGGGAGGGCGGCAGTGCCGTCGGACAGCTGCCCTGGGCAGGAAAGAAGGGAGAGACTGAGCAGGGGACAGTCACACAGTGAAAGACTGAAAGAGCCAGAGACCCCAGAGCGAGCCTCGGAGCAAGACAGAGGGGAGGAGAGGGGACAGGTTGTCCCAGCCCGGTGACCCCAGTCTCCTGAGCCCTCAGTGCAAGTGGCAGCTGCACCCAGGCTGGTCGGCAGCTGGGACCCAGGTAAGCATGGTTGCCCCCTGTCCTGGGCACTGGGAGAAGGATTTGCTGGGTTTCCAGGAGTCATGGGCTTGTGCCACCCTGGAGCACCCTGCCCACTACTTGCTCCTAGGCTGGGCCCCCTGCTACCTCTGGGGGCTCAGCCACAGCAGCCAGGGAATGAAATTGTCCCAAGCCTGGAGATGGAGCCTGGTACCCTGGTGAAGGGAAGAACAGAGGGGCACGGTGTCCATCGAATTGTCTCTGACCAGGGCTGGGGCAGGAGCACAGACATGCTGGGGGTGACACAGAGAGAGGCTCTACTGTCCCTGTGTCATTGTTTTCTTTGGCTTCTCTCCACATTCTTTATCTCTTGCTTTGCATAAGTCACTTCCTTCCTCCATGCCTCAAATTACCCATCTGTGAAATGGGAATATGAAGCCCCACCATCCATGGCTGTTGTGGGGAAAAGGCAAAATCAGGCATGAGGGTAGTAATGTAAATACAGTTATGTGTTCCCTGTTGTCAATTTGAAAAAGTTAACTTGAAAGTGGATTAGTTCATTTTTTAGGGGAAAAAAATGTTTATCCAGTAGCTGTTTATTTATGTGTGGCCCTTAAAATGCTTGCCACCCTTCTACTCCCCAAAGCTCTGAAAACCCTGGTTCTACTGCCTGACTCCCATGGCTCACACTGGAGCAGGACTCCAGCACGACACTGGGCTTCCCCTTCAGATACAGCTCCCACTGCCCTGTCTGCTGGTCCCTGTTGACCTCCTCCTGGCCCCCAGGCAGGCTGCATGTCTCTGGAAGGACTGTGTGCCCGCTGTGTCCAGGAGCTCCAGGGCAGGGGTCAGGGCTCGGGTGTCAGGCAGTGCCAAGGGCAGAGGATCAAATGCCCCAGTGCCTCTGAATGGGCCTTGTGAAAAATTGATGCTCCTTCCGGGGGTAGGTAGGGGACCAGAGGGGCCTCAAGCCAGGACCTGTGGGCTGGGGCTGCCTTGGGTCGTCATGCTCAGACCCACAAGTCCTTCCCGAGCCCTATCTGGGCCCAGCCCTGTGCTGTATGAGATGATAGCTGAGCCCCACACCCTGCCTTGGATCAACTCTCTGACTGTGGGGGCAGAGCGGGGACAGATCCTGACCAGACAACATACTATAAATAGGGCTGGACAGAGGGAAACATCAGGGCTTTTGGCAGTCTGGGATGGTCAGGGAAGGCTTCCTGGAGGAG